TGCTTCATCACTTGGAATGTGCTACCTATCTCATAATAACTTGATAAATTAGGTTAGCAGTTAGGGTTTCATCAATTCACCAAAACCAAACTAAAGCTTTCAATCTCCCCCTTTTTAGTAATTGATGACAACCCTTTCACAAATATATGAATTAAATTTCAATTGAATCCATGTTGCTTGCCCAAGCATATTTACCATGTGTAAAGGGATATGGACAAGTTTCATAAACTCCATATGATAGCAATTGCTCCCCCTACATATGTGCTAAGAGTTTAGATTGAAGCTTGCACATATGCTTAGATAGAAAATATAGGAGACAATATCTACCAAATGATGCTAAGGTATAAAAGATGGATCTTTGAAGCATGATACCAATTGGAGTGCACCATTATATCATCCTTAGCACCATGGTTAGCTCGATACCACTTGGAAACACTTGGAAATGAAATCACTAGATAACCTATGCATGCTAGTTTTTTATTTCATCATTCAAACCTACAACTAGCATACACCACACAAGCATGAATGATGAAATTTAAAACTTGTGCCATGCAAGCAAACATATGAAATGCACATTCAAATGCACCATACAAGTTCATGAGCTTGCTCCCCCCTACTTGTGTGCTCAAAATTTTAATTGATCCCTTTCCTTTATCATATCTCTCCCCCTTTGTTGTCTTTTCATTATCTTAGTACACTAATATCTTTGTTTTTCTCTTCATGTACTAATATATTTGTTTTCTCCCCCTTTGTCATCAATGACCACAAATGTTCAAAATATAGATAGGTTAAGATTATCAATGTCAATCAATGAGGTGAGGATCATTTTTCCAAATTTGGTCCAATCTAGATAATTTACCAAAGATATTTAACTCGGTTTGATCCAAAGACAAGCTTCTTCACACCTCCAAATAAGGGTTATCTTTTACCATGTTGAGTTAAACACTTAGAGCTCATTTTCTAGATTAAACACTAGGTTTACAAGCTCACAAACATGTCATATGCTACCACTAGATCAAAATAAGCATAGAAGCAATAGTGATACCATACAATCATCAAATTCATTTGATTTTCATGAATGAGCCTATTAAATATGAAAGATGTCTAGATGCACTAAACATGTCCTTAGCAAGGATGTATGCCATGTCAATCAACTTTTACCTTGGATTGCTCGAAGGAAAGGCATGTCATATAAGTGGGGAGGTGCATCAACACATATTTGAGAAATCCAATATGTTCAACTCATTCCTTAGCTTGCAAAACCTTTTCTCATCCAATGGCTCGGTGAATATATCGGCAAGTTGATCTTCGGTGCCTACACTCTCAATGCAAATGTCCCCTTTTTGTTGGTGATCTTTTATGAAATGGTGGCGGACATCAATGTGCTTTGTTCTTGCATGTTGAACCGGATTGTTGGTTAACTTGATTGCACTCTCATTGTCACATAGCAATGGCACTTTCTTAAACTTGATTCCAAAATCACTCAAAGTGGCCTTCATCCAAAGTATTTGTGCACAACAACTACCGGTGGATATGTATTCGGCTTCGGCGGTTGATAATGCAACACTATTTTGCTTCTTTGATGACCATGAAATAAGTGATCTTCCCAACAATTGACATGTGCACGAGGTGCTCTTCCTTTCAACCTTGCATCTCGCATAATCCGAGTCGGAGTAACCAACTAGCTCAAACTTTGCTCCTTTAGGATTCCATAAACCAACATTTTGTGTATGCTTCAAGTACCTCAATATTCTCTTTGTAGCCTTCAAATGACTTTCTCTTGGTGAGGCTTGAAATCTTGCACACATGCATACATTAAACATGACATCCGGCCTTGATGCGGTCACATAGAGTAGGCTTCCAATCATAGACTAATATAATTTTTGATCCACCATATTTCCACTTGCATCACTATCCAAGTTTTTCATTTGTTCCCATTGGTGTACTAATAGCTTTGCTATCACTCATTCTAAACTTCTTAATCATGTCTTTGATATACTTGCCTTGACTCACAAATGTACCATTTTCAATTGCTTGATTTGAAGACCAAGTAAGTAACTCAACTCTTCAATCATGGACATCTCAAACTCTTTAGCCATCATCTTTCCAAATTCTTCACAAAAGTCTTGATTTGTTGATCCAAATATGATGTCATCAACATAGATTTGCAACACAAACAAAATTTTTCCAATCTTCTTGATGAAAAGAGTGGTGTCAACCTTGCCCATTATGAACCCTTTAGAGAGTAGGAAGTCTCTCAATCTCTCATACTATGTTCTAGGTGCTTGTTTCAAGCCATACAATGCCTTCTTTAACTTGTACACATGGTCGGGCTTCTTGTTATCTTCAAAACCGGGAGGTTGCTCAACATATACTTCTTTATTGATGTAACCATTGAGAAATGCACTCTTGATATCCATTTAATAGAGCTTGATGTTGTGGGCACAAGTATAGGCTAGCAAGATTCTAATTGCTTCCAATCTAGCAACCGGGGCATATGTTTCTCCAAAGTCAAGACCTTCAACTTGTGCATAGCCTTGTGCTACCAATCTTGCTTTGTTCCTCACTACTATCCCATCTTGATCTTGCTTATTTCTAAAGACCCATTTGGTTCTAATCACATTGTGTCTCTTTGGTCTTTCTACCAATTCCCATACTTGATTTCTTGTGAAGTTATTCAATTCTTCATGCATAGCATTCACCTAATCAACATCCTTCAAGGTTTTATCTATCTTATTTGGTTCAATGGATGACATAAATGAGAAATGCTCACAAAATGAAGTCGTGTGATGCATGCCACATGTCCCCTCTCTTCAAATACCGAGCGCTCGATCCCAACGGTCAAGTGTTGACCGGACGCGCTGCTTCGAAGTGACCGGACGCTGGACCTCAGCGTCCGGTCGTTTCCAGTAAGCATCCAGAAACAAGAAATCACGACCGGACGCGTCCGGTCATGCTCGACCGGACTCACCCAGCGTCCGGTCACTTGGTGTCTCCCCTGTGCGCTGCCACGTCAGTAGGACCGGATGCAACCCTCTAGCGTCCGGTCACTAAGTGACCCAACGTCTGGTCAGAGATCGAAAACGCACGCTCACCGCTACCACTGACCAGACGCGTCAGTCCAACCGAGGTCAGCGTCCGGCCACTTACAGTGACCTCCGTCTTTTCTGTATAGGGCGCCGGTGAAGTTTCTAACCCTTGCTCAAATGTGCCAACCACCAAGTGTATCACCTTGTGTACATGTGTTAGCATATTTTCACAAATATTTTCAAGGATGTTAGCACTCCACTAGATCCTAAATGCATATGCAATGAGTTAGAGCATCTAGTGGCACTTTGACAACTGTATTTTGATACGAGTTTCACCCCTCTTAATAGTACGGTTATCGACCCTAAATGTAATCACACTCACTAAGTGTCTCGATCACCAAAGCAAAATGGCTCCTACCATTTATACCTTTGCCTTGAGCCTTTTGTTTTTCTCTTTCTTCTTTTCAAGTCCAAGCACTTGATCATCACCATGGCATCACCATCATCATGTCATGGTCTTCATTTGCTTCATCACTTGGAATGTGCTACCTATCTCATAATTACTTGATAAATTAGGTTAGCACTTAGGGTTTCATCAATTCACCAAAACCAAACTAGAGTTTTCAAACGTCCTGTAGCTGAGAAGGTCCAAGCTCCTCGTGCCTCTGGTCCACCTCCTCGTCGTCCTCGTCCTCGTACGCAATGCCTATAAACCCTGTAGTTGCTTGGCTAGACGAACCTAAGCCTCCTCCTCCTACAGAAGAACGTGCACGTCTTGCGTCGTGGTTGTCCTACAACCACAACGAGCAGTCGCATGACGTAGCCGATGTGACTATCTCTGTTGTACAAAATTATGTTAACTGAAAGAATTTAACGTATTAATATTATACTTGATAGAATTTTTAGAATCTTACGTCTATGGTGGGTGCTACGGCCTTGCAGCCGGACAGCAGCCCCTCCCCTCGTCCCTTTCCAAGGTCTGCCCTCGGCACTTCGAGGGCCAGCGACAACAATGGAACGACCGACGGGGAGGGGCCGGCTCGTGGATGCCCGAGCAGGGACCGAGGTCGCACCTAGGCGGAGCAGACCTGCCACACGGACAACATGATCGACGACGAGGTCGCGGTGTGCCAGGAGTAGGAGGACGGGGGCGCGCGGGCAGACGGGATCGGCGGGCGGGCCGCCGGGCGCGGTGCGGCGCGAACAGCCGGGCGCGGCACGGCGGCTGCGGCGGGGGAGGCGCGCGGGGGGCGGGTCGGGCCGGGCCGGGCTCGGAGCGGCTGGCTTGGAGGACTGGGCGTGGGCGTGGGCGTGGTTATGCGGCACCGGCGGCGAGCAGGCTCGGGAGTCGCACGAACGAGAGAGAAGGAAAGAGGAAGGGGAAGAGGAAGAAGAGTGAAAGGAAAGGGAGCTCACATGTCAGGTAGGCACGGCGTCAAAGATGTAGGGATCGAGCTCAGCGTCAAGATCTACGGCGCTAAGCTTGGAGCCAAGATCTATGGCGTTGAGCTGGCTACCACGTCTGCCTCGGCGCCAGCGTGGGCACAAGACCTATGCGTCAATTACTATAGCGCTGAGACGTGTAATCTTGGCATCAATTACTACGGCGCCGAGCCGAGGATCTAGATTTTAAAAGTAGACATCCGAGACATATTTTTGACAAACTATAAAAAAACAAGGGAAAAAAAACAAAAATTTCGGGAGCCCAACGCCGCAAGCCGAGCAGAGCAGAACAGCCAACCCGGTCAGCAAAGACAGCACCTGTTCAAAGCAGAACAGCCAAACCCGTCCTGCATAATAAAACCCGCCTCGCCCGGGCCCGGAGGCCGGCGCAAGTGGGTCAACTCGCAACCGCAGACCAGAGCGCGGGGCCGGCTTCCCGGAGTCCGGAAGCGCCCAGGCGCCGCCGTCGCTGTCGCCACCGCGCCCGGCTCGCCCGCGTCCACAAAAGCCGCCAGGGCCCGTACGCCGATGGATCCTGCCGCGACGGCAGATCCCGGCAGCTCCAGCTCCCCCACGCCCACGCTGCGGAAGCGGACGATCTCTATAGACACGTCGCGACGAGGAGGCGACGACGCGTCGCGAGAGACCGCGCCCAGGCCAGAGCGGGAGGAGCAGCAGGAGGAGGAGGGCTCGATGGCGGCGTCCGCGCCGGCGGAGGAGGCGGCGGCAGCGAGGGGGAGGGACCTGGAGGCGGCGGGCGAGCCGATGAGCCCCGCGGGGCGGCTATTCCGGGAGAAGCACTTCAACTGCTACATCGTGGCCGTGATCGGGCTGGGCACGGTGGTGGACGTCGCGGCGGCGCGCGCGGGGCTGGAGGCCACGCTCGTCCGCCACCCGCGCTTCTCCAGCATCCAGGTACGCCCTCACTCTGCTCGCAGCTCGCCTCTGGAATGGTTCCTCACTTCCTCGGCTGATGCCGAATTTGGTCTGTTTTTCGTTTGCTTCCGCTCTCGGCTCCCCTACCAAACCCGGCCGAAGGGCCGAGAGGGAAAGCGAGAGGACATGGCCGTTGACCTCAGCCACGACGCTGGCACGCCGGACAGGACATGGTGCACGGGCCACGTCTGCACCACCTTTGCGGCACCGCCCGGCAGATGGACAGGCTACCCTGCGGCTCTGCCCTTGTCCGCTCCGCAAGGTCTTTAGGATAGCAAACGGCAAGCGAGCTTCGTGCATGCCTGTCTGGGACTCCGGCCAAATAATAGTTTGTCTCTATTTCGTTATAAAAAATAGTTTGTCTACCGCCAGAGAAGGCTCGTTCACACTGTCCGTGGAGCTCGTAAAAATACTTTTCTCTCGCACTAAAAAGTCGACCAAGTCCAAGGGCGATTGTCTTGGCATCTGATGCTTGAGGTGACTGGTGCGGTGGTAAAATCAAGTAGTACTTTTTTAGCTACTCCGTGCTGCACGCCTGCACATGTCCTCTTGCCTTTTTTAGCTACGTTGTTTGTCCTTGGCTTCTGATATTTGTCGTGTTTTTTTAAACTTTGTGGGGGGCATAGAACCAGAGCTGAGAAATCTAGACATCTCCTTAAGAAATTGAATCACACTTAACCAAAATCTGTTCAAGTCTTGTATGTTTTTATTATTTGAGAGCAGTTTATATCCTTGTTTGCCCTAGTTTAGCCAATATAACGTCGGAAGATCCTGATCTCTGCCTCAACATCCATCAAAACTCAAAACCATGGCGCAAATCAACTTGCACTGTGGTTATAAAAAATTGGTTACGATTTTGCGTCCGGAGGCAGACAGCTCTACTAGAAAGTGTACTGTAGACGATTGGTTCCCAACAACGCAACAAACCTGGTGCAGTGCGAAGGAATGACTGGATAAGACCGACCAGATGGTGGTAATAAGTACTATTTCATCGACGTGTCCGTCAGTCCGTGGTTAATGTGATGTTCTCCAAATTTCCACTCAGATCTGTTCGAAAAGGATATGATGTTAACGTGTTCCTGCACTGAAGCTGAAGGTGGTTCTCGGTATGTGACTCTAGCGTCACTGTAGAGTACCCGAACTGCCTGTTCCTTGTTCTCTCTTGTCGGCTTTTGCAGCATAGCAGCCGTTTGACTGATGAATACGAAACAAAGAAACGCACACATACGGCGCGTCACTGCAAACCTGAAGATCAATAGTGCCGGGCACAGACTCTGCAAATCTCAAGCCATCGCTACCAATCCACCGGAAACAGATGGTGGACGGCCCTGACCGGGACAAGATCATAAGTGCTGTGCTGTGCAGGACCGCAGTGAAACTCGACGTCCAAACCAAGTGTTGCTGTATCTCCCTTTCCTAACAAATCTTTTCGCCCATAATGTTTTTTTTGCCACTTGATTGAGGAGCTGGTGATCAGAGATACTACAATATTGATAAAAATTAATGGAGTGGGTCAATTATTAATAAATCTCCCAAAGAATACGGTTGTGTGGAACTATCATTTGATGGGTGAAAACGACCTGTTTTTATCTTGATTCCGCATTTCCGCTGGCAGGTGAAGGATGATGCGAGAAAGAACGCCAACCCGCGGTGGGTGCGGACCACGGTGAACCTGGACGATCACGTCATCGTCCCCTACCTGGACCCCGCCGCCACGTCGACCAAGCCGGACCAGGCCGTGGAGGACTACCTGTCCTGGCTGTCCACGGCGCCCATGGATCACTCCCACCCGCTCTGGGAGTTCCACGTCCTCGACTTCCCGACGTCCGAGGCCACCGCCACCGTCGCCATCCGCATGCACCACTCCCTCGGCGACGGCGTCTCGCTGCTGTCGCTGCTCATCGCGTGCACGCGCAGCGCCGCGGACCCGGCGCGGCTGCCGGAGCTGCCGCCCGCCCCGCGCCGCGCGGGCTCCGTCTACGCCCGCCCGCGCCCGCCGCTCTCTGCGGGCTTCGTGGCGCTCGCGCTGTGGCTGTGGTCCTACGTCGTGCTCGCGTGGCACACGCTGGTGGACGTCGTGTGCTTCGTGGCCACGGCGTGGTTCCTGCGCGACCCGCGCACGCCGTTCATGGCCGCGTCCGAGGGCGTCGAGTTCCGCCGCAAGCGCTTCGTGCACCGCACGCTCAGCCTCGACGACGTCAAGTTCGTCAAGACTGCCATGAAGTGTGTAAGAGCTTCTCTTGTTTGCTACTCCTAATTCAGTTCTCTCCTTCTGAAGGATTGACCCAAATACATCGTGTGCTGGCTTCTGCAGACTGTCAACGATGTCCTTGTTGGAGTGACCAATGCAGGGTTGTCGCGGTATTATTTACGTAAGACCAGTGAGTGTAAACCTGTGATTCCATGCGCATCAATACTAAATCATGTTCCACATTAGCATTCTGCATCTCCGTCGCAACATGCTAAAAACCAGGCTACATTTTATCCTCATATTTCTTGATTTTCGTCAGGTGATACCAACAGCGAGAGGAACAAATCACAGAGCATTCGCGTCCGATCAGCTCTCCTCGTTAACATTAGGAAAACACCTGGTTTACATGTAATTGTTTCATCTGTTTTTTTATGAATATATCAACACTTAGGGCGGCCTTTAATTTAGTATTGTCCTTGGATAATTTATTCTGAACCCGCAATTTGATTTTGAGCAGGCATTGTCGGAAATGATGGATTCTGGCAAGAACAATGGGGCAAAATGGGGGAACCTGATTGGTTACATGATACTACCTTTCCATATAGCCATGCACGATGATCCTCTTGAATACATCCGCCAAGGGAAAAGGACAGCTGAAAGGAAGAAGGCTTCATTAGAAGCAGTTTTCACGTACTGGAGTGGGAACCTAATAGTCAAACTTTTTGGCATGAAGGTATGATTAGCAACATGTTTGCTTTGATTGTTGTTTTTGTTTTACCTGTAGACTTGTGAGGTTTTGGCAGTTCGGTGCAGTTCATTTCAAGTTGAAACCAAATCATTTGGGATGTTTAAACACTAAATCTAAAGAAAAAAAAACTAAAATTCACAACTGTATGTATTCTCAGCCTTGTCATGAACTACTCTAAATTGGCAGGATCACATGACAAGTGACCGCTGTAATTCTTTTTCACCCTTACAAGTTACAATAAGTTTTTTTGGGGAACTTTGTTGTAACCAGAGGTCACATGACAAGAGTCTGATCTTTTGCAAATTAACACCATGGACCAGATTGAGCTATCTTTTGTCTACTCTGGAATGTTTGACTCTAACTATGAAACTTGTGTAGGCTGCAGCAGCTCTCTGCTATGGTATGTTCACAAATACAACCATGTCATTCTCAAGCATGGTCGGACCTGCTGAGAAGGTGGAGTTCTATGGCCATCCAATCGTCTATATCGCTCCCTCTGTCTACGGGCATCCACATGTAAACACTCGCTAGTCATTAATACTAGTATTGAACACTCAAACAGCTTCCAGTTCTCAATTGTTAATTATCTTACCTTAACGTGTGTAGGCTCTGACTGTACATTACCAAAGCTATACGAACTCCATCAAAATTGTCCTCGCAGTGGATGATGCTCAGTTTCCAGACTCTCATCAGCTTTTGGACGACTTTGCCGAGTCCCTCAGGCTCATCCATCAGGCAGCTTCAACAAGATGACAGAAACAAGATCAATATTTTTTTTTAGTAGAATGTAGGTTGTTGGTGAGAACACGCAAGGGAATGCTGGACAACAACATATCAGGAACTTAATGCCTGGTTACTTGACTGGGGACTCCATAAACTTTCAAGAAATCACTAGAGACCGTGCAAATTGTAAAGTGTAACTGTGTAAGACTAGAATGTATATCAATATTGTTCAACCAATTGTGGTGGAATCACAAAATGGATATTATACGAAGGAATTCAACATCGACTATAGGTAGCGGTTCCATTAGAATGTAACAATTCCACATATACATAAACATGTTAGCCTTAAAAAAACGCTGCACGTGGTATATAACAGTAGATAGCAAATAGGATACTACTACTCCTTATGTAGAAAATTATAAGCTGTTCTACCTTTTCTAGATACATTGATTTTGTTATGCACCTAGACTCATGTTATATCTAGATGCATAGCAAAAACAATGTTTCTAGAAAAACCAGAACGACTTATAATTTGGAATGGAGGGAGTACATAAGAATTTCCACTAGATGCATAGTACTCGACTTTCCTGAAGCTACAAAGACCAGAAGCCTAACCGCAACACCTGCGTAACCTACCCAAGTTGATAGAGAAGTCTCATTTCCTGCCCTATTCTAATCTCACTTTGCCCCTCGGCAGCTGGTTTTTGCAGCCGCTGCAGCTGCTATGCCTCTCATAAAATCACTGTACAGACAGCCAGCGGCAGCTGTTTCTACAAGCAGCCGAACAAGCTGAATGTAGCGCTACGATTAATCATTCTATTGCTATTTGTGGTGCTAGAGGTAGCTGTACCTGATCTTGTACCCTCATAGCTTTTCTGCTGGGAACCTAGCTACGTTTATGATTATGCTTTGCTAACTGCTGCACGTGCATGCTAGTTTGGTAACATCAAATAGCTAGGATTACTACTTGACGTGACTCCTAATTCATGAGTGCTTAAATTCCTTAATGAAAATCACCAAAGTGCATGTTCTTAGCTTACCGCTTCCTTCATTACGATTGATCCAATCAAGGTTTACTACTGAAGTAGTTTTGTTTAATTATTATTGAATGAAACTACTTCAGTAGTAAATTTGATCAGATCAACTATGGCTAGTAGCCTAGTACTTGCTCTTCCCTACTCACAAATATAAATCCATTTATATATGTTTGACTTAAGTCAAACTTTTTTTATAACTTTGATCGCTCATATAAAATTTGTATAGATCAGACATTAGAGTAGGGCTACAGCTAGCTAAAAGAAATTCCTCTACTGTCTGTGTTCCTTATGTTATTAGATTCTCCATTTGACGACTGTTGAGTGTTTTTGTTATGATAATCTGTCATTGGTGGAGGGCCTGCATATGTAGCTTAGCTCGCAAAACATCTGAACTTCGCTGTAAGTTCTGAGTTCTGGTGAGATAAAATATCTCTGAAATATAATAAACTGCCGATGTGAAGGACTAGAATAAGATAGGGATGTTTATATGCAGCTAATATTATTTGGAACAGAGCTCATAGAGCCATAGTGACTAGCTGTATACTTGCATATATCACTACTGTTTAAGCAAAAACTAAATAAAATGAATACAATTGGTTGTTGAGCTATTTGTACCGTCATAAGTTTCTGACTTCTCTTTAAATTCATTTCAAAACTATCTTTGTACTACCACTGTACACAACCTTGTCCAAACTCTTAACACAACTTGGATTAACAGCCTAAAACCATGGCTTTTAGGTGTTGCCACCACTGAGTTCATCAAAACAAGCATTTGCAGTTTCAGACTTCGGCTATTGATCCTTTCTTTTCACTCTTGTACAAACTTTCAGACTAAGTTGCAAGCAAGCCATACAATGGGCAATCGAACTTCCATGGCTTAAGGCAGTGCTAAAACCTTGGCTATCACAACAAAGTAATTGCTAGACACAGCAAAGCCAGTGCTAAAACCTTGGCTATCACAACAAAGTCATTGGCTATCACAGCCAGTGCTAAACACAGATGTCTCCTATACCTCTTCTACACCAAGAGGCGAGGAGCAGACGACTAGTTGGTGCTAGGTTCCTCTGGTTTCCTGACCAAGATAAACAAGGCTACACGGTTGCTGCGAAATTCAGGGTGCCATTGGTCCCGCTCAATGCAAGCAATTAGGAAGTCCTCCATTGCTGCCTCCAAGAAGCACTCCAGCACAGCATTTATACAATCACATAGAAAGCATTTGTTTGGCGTGTGGTGGAGGCGGAGGAGGAGGGAACTGTAACGGCGGCGGAGGAGGATTGGGGGCGGGTAACGTACCATTGGCCGGGAACGGGGCTATGGTCGTGACCAAACCATACCCCGCATCCCGTGTTGGTGAGGCCACGCCGTGCCCACTGGGCCAGTCGATCGTTGCTCCGGCAGGTGCTCGCCCGGCGACCAACTCCAGTGTACCTTTGGGCTCGGGAGATCCATCGGTTTGAGCAGCGCCAAAGTTCGGCTAGGCGGCGACTACGTGCGCCTAGTCGCTGGGCGAAGCCCGTCGCCGCGACTAGGGGCATAGTCGCGCATCGCGGCGCTAGGCGGCGTGTAGGCGCGCGAGATGAGCGCGAGCTCGAGGGAGGCCAATTTTGGCGCGCCAAATCGGAGCGCGGGAGGAATTCCCGCGCGGCCAGGCCTGCGCGCGGCCACGAGACCCAGGAGCGGGAGGATTAGAAGGGAGTGCGGCGCCATTCGCTCGTCCCCGCGTAAGATTTGGTCGTCCCCGCCGCCGGTCCTCCTCGCCGGGCGAGGTCCATCCCGCCGGACGACCTCCTCCCCGCCGGTCCTGCTCCTCCCCTGCTCGTCCCGACTCGCGTGCCACCGGTCCTGCTCGTCGTCGACTCGCCGCCGCCGTCCTGCTCGTCCTCGACTGGAACCCCTCCCCGCCGGCCACCCCAAGTCCCCAAGGTGAGCTCCCTTCCCTCCCATGCTCCTCTCCCCTCCCATGCCGGTAGCTCCTCCCCTGCTCATCTCCCCTGTATGACTGAATCTGCATGTGTTTGTTCAGTGAAGTCTTTTGTTTACTGAATGAGTCTACTGAATATGAGACTACTGCTGCTTGTGCTGTCCTTTATTTATAAATTGTGTTGTGCACTTGTATTACTGTCCTATCCACTTGTATTGTAATTACCAGCTGCTGATATGGTGTGCTCATGGATGGGAGGCTGCTGAAATCATCCAGATAAGTCACAACTTAGTGTTTTCTATTTTTTTTTTATGAACAACTAGCTGTCTATTGACTAATTTACTAACTACTAGCTGTCAAAATATGTTGCAGGAGCTAGGAACATGCAAGAGTAAGCCAGCTAGGAATCAGATATGTCTACTGGCCCTCTTTTTATACTTACTGTGACTCATATATAGTAGTTATATACATATATATAGTTATATACATAATATATATAATTTATAGCTATATTGCCAAAACGTCTAGGAAAACACCTAGGAGCGCATAGGACCGAGTACTCCCGACTAGGCGCTAGGCAATGGGTCAGCGCCTAGATTCCGTCTAGCGCCTAGCTGAACTTTGAGCAGCGCAGGATCGATCCCAGAGCTTGGACAACCGATCCACCTCCGAGCGAACGGTGAAGAGGGAGCTCTCGATCCGGGGACGCCAGGCTTCGAACGCCTCCGCTGCGGACTCGAGGGCGGTGACCCGCTCGTCGCGCTCGTCCTGGATCTCGACGTAGCGCACCATCTCCAGATCGTGGACGCGCTCCTCCAGCTCGCTGATGCGCTCGGAGAAGTGGCCACCCCAGTTGTCAGCAACGATGGTGGCGGTGTACTGGGCGGAGGCGAACTGCTCCAAGGAGTCGAGGTGGCTGTCGACGGTGGAGTCGTGCTCGGAACGGACGGCCTCCGTCTCGGTGAAGCGCCGATCCAAGCGGGCACCGAGACCATCGAACTCGGAGCGAAAAGCGTCGAAGCAGTGAATCAAATCGTCGAACATCTGGCGGACCACGGGATCCATGGCACCGCGGGTGCGTTGAAGGCGGGTGAAGTGGGGATGGGCGGGTGGGAGGTCCTCCAGCACGCGCGGTGGCCGGGGATCGACGGCTCCGATACCAGTGTTAGCCGGCGAGGCAGCGGCCGGCCAGACTTGGGGGAGAAGTACAGGAAACTACGATGTATATTAGGGAAAGTGTGTTGGCGATAGCCAAAATACAAATAGAGAAGTTCCTCAATAGCCCTCACGACTCCTTCCTTGCCTTCTCTTATCTCACTCGGACTTGGGCCTCTCATTACATGACACGCAGGCCCATTCCGACCCGGACAACTTCACGTTGCGTGCTCTCTTCCTCTCGGGCCTTGGAGCTGCCGATGGATCCCCAGGGTGAGGCCTGCTGACACAGTCACTCGATCCCATTCTAAAATGAAACAGAGAACGTGAAAGAGAAGCCTTACGTTGCGAAGCTCTCCAGCTAGAAGTATCGTGGTGTGTTTTCCTGAGAGCTGGTTGAGAGTGGCCAGGAGATCGTCCACCGCTTCCTCATTGTATATGACATCAGAGCCGAGCACTGAAAGAATTGAACAACCAATTGATCACATCTATCGTATTCTATGAAGATGAACTGAATCAGAAGCAGACAGCAGTTTAATATCCATGCAAGAAACAGGGGAAAAGGCAGAGGCGAGCAGACCGAAATCGGGCAGTGGGTCCTTGAGCAATTCATGGTGAGGATCGTCGCCCCACACAAGCTCCGTGACTCGAGCGGAGCCCGGGACGTGGGGGTCGTCGACATTGAGGGCGACATTCTTCCTGAGCAGCTTAAGCCGGTCAGGGAGGTCGGTGAGGACCACATGGGCGCCCAGCAGGGCGGCGGCGCACCCCACCAGGCCGCACCCGGACCCGAGGTCCACCGCGCGCGTGCCCCGGAGGAGCAGCCGCTGGGAGTCGACGGCGTGCTCGAGGAACTTGGCGAGCACTACGCCGCTGTCCCAGACGACCGCCCTCGTGACCCCCGGGGTGGTCATGGAGGAGGGGGACTGCAGCAGGGACAGGCGCCGCCCGCAGGCGTCGAGCTCGAAGGCGTGCGCCGCCTGGCGGACCAGCGCGTTGTTGCGGTGCGCCTCGGGCTGCCCCAGGCCCCACAGCAGCATCGTCTTCCCCGCCGCGCTCTCCACCGGTCGCACCGCGCCGCCGTACGCGCCCATCCCGCTGCCCATCATCCTTTGACTCGACGACGGGGCGGCGGCGCTCTGCCCTCTTTTTCTGGAGAAACGTGAGTGTTGGGCCGATCTGGGCCGGCCGTGAGTTTGTCCAAGGCCCACCGGTAATGTCTCCTCCTCCTTCCTCCATACGGTTCAAGCTGGCCCCACCACCGGCCCTGTGCGAATGCGATGCCACACACCCCGCTCGATTTTTTTTATTTTTAACACTTTTTAAACTAATTTTAAATCTAACGTTGTTTAACTTTTTTTTTTCTAAAACTAACATTTTTGGCCGCACCTATTTTCCTAGCGCGGCGAAATGTCTGTGTCATGCCATGCATGGTGGCGCGGCGAGAGTGATGACGTGGCGACGACCGGGATGCTGACCGGTGACGTGGCAGGGTCTGCCACGCCACCGATCTTGGCACGGCGCCGCCGCGCTATCCCTCACGGCGCGGCAGGAGAGGCCAGGAGAAGTTGACGCCTAGGAGACCAGGAGAGGACGACGCAAGGTCTGCACTCCGGAGACTGTAGACGCTCCTCGTGAGCGCCCCATGGCTGGGTCCACGTGTCAGATCCCGTGTATGTGTCGTCTTAAAGAAAGACACAACGTTCGTTTAGATTCCCTGATGACCATAAATAAAACAACATGGACCACGACGCCTGCTTAACCATGTGGCCACAACTGCTAGCGCTTGCTGTAGCTCTGACGGGATGACGCCTCCCTCGTGAATCGTGATAGTGGTTATCCGTGTACACACAGAGACGCTGTGGGGGGTACAACCCCGAATACCCACGGCAGACCACATGGGTTGCGCCCCCAGGGGCGGCCCAACCCACAAGACGAAGCCTTGCGGGGCACGATTCTACTCGGCGCCTCCCGCAAGACATAAATAAGATATCCTGAAGATACTACGAGATCTGTTAGGATACGTATGATCTCATGATTCTTGTAATCTGTTATTACTTTCTGGTTATCTCTCAGATCTAACCGACTTATAACCCTGCCCTCCGGACTATATAAGGTGGGCAGGGACCCCCTCTGAAATCATGACATATCATACGATAACTAATACAGACCAACAGACCACAGGAGTAGGGTATTACGTCATACTGACGGCATGAACCTGTCTAACTCGTGTGTCTCTGTTGTCTTCTTGTTCTTGATCTCGCGCTCCTCTACCGATCAATCTACCTTCGTGGGATACCCCTCGGAGGATTGCCGACGATATTCTGTCGACAGTTGGTGCGCCAGGTAGAGGTGTGCGTACTGTTTCCTTGTCGAACAAGATAGCTTTTTCCGCAGGCTCTTCGTCCCTTCCACAGCCCGACCAGATCTTCACGGTCGGATCCAACTCGTGGGTCATCAACGCTGACGGAGTTGGAGAGCTCCTCGAGCCGGTGTAGATCCGTTCTGCGCCGACCACCCCCGCACCTGCGACTACAGATCTGATCTTGGAACTACTTCCGAGGTCGTCTTCATCAACGACTCGCCGCTCGCTTCCTCGTTACCAGAGGAGATACATCAACAATGACGATCTGATCGAGTCCATCGATTGGGTCAGCCTGAAACTCGCCGATTGCCTTTCTATCGCTGAGTCAGCTCTAGACACCCTCGCCCAGCATCGACCACCTTCCAATCCGGATCTATCGAAAGCTGCTCGGCAAACTCCAGGGGTTACGGCCCTACCCTTCGGGCTCGCCAGCACCGCCACTACATACCAAGATGCCCTGAGGGGCAAATTCGCCGACCAGGTGGGGGATATCCATCCTCTCGCCGACCAAATCGCCGACCAGCTCCCGCCGACGGTCAACATGCTGCACGCCAACCGATGCCCCGGAGCATCCCTCCAAACCATCTTGGAGGAAAATCCGGACTCTGAATCTCAGAGCTCCACGGAGACCCTCGCCAAAACCTTCACTGAGCAACCCCCTCTCCCGCCTTTTTGGGGCGGCGCAATCTTTAACGTCAGCATCGACAGCCCCCCTCAAAACAGCGAAACCGATGAGGAACGCGCCGCTCATGAAAACAGGAACATCAACCGCGCGCAGCGCCGTGAAAACGAGCGCGCCCTTGCGATGGCTGAGGCCGCTCGCGACAACCAATTCGACTCGCAAGGGAGGCCGCTCCATCGCAACCTTGACGAAGATTTTCTCCGTGTCGACGGTCACGACGTCTACAAAACTCCAAGCGCTAACTTGGCCATGGCTGCCAACGAGCTCGCCCGGCTCCCGCAAACTCTCGAGGTCACCAAGGTCACCGCCATGCTCAAAGCGGCGCATTGCTAGGTCAACGAGATCCGTCAGGATCAAAGACCTTCGTGCTCGACAAGCACGATTCATCGATCAGCCGCGCCAAGATCCAATCACCGCCCTAGCCAAAGCCGTTTCGCCGATCAGTCACTGCCCCTCCATGGTGTGGTTGGGGGCCACCACGCCGAGCACCATCGCCAGCAAGACCAGGAGGTCGAACAGGACGCTCGAGTGCACCTCAGTAATCTCCGGGATGCACGACGGTGTATCGAGCAGCGTCGCTTCGGTCGCCATGAAGATGAAGTACGCCACCGCCAGGAGTACAAGCGAGAGTACGGTAACCCGGACTCAGCTCTGGAGCCAATCGCCGCCGGCAACATTACAGATGATGGAGCCGGCAATCCCAAAGGCCCTCTAGCATTCACCAGGGCGCTCCGAACACTCCAATGGCCACGTGGTTTTTAAGTCACTGGGGTCGAGCCCTATGAAGGAAGGATGAATCCAACTCAGTGGCTGCAGGCTTATGCCACTGCCGTCCGCGCCGCCGGAGGAGACACCAACGTCATGGCAAATTATCTCCCGTCATGCTCACGCTAGCCGCCATGAGCTGGTTCACAAGCCTTGCCTCGGACTCCATCGGATCTTGGGAAGAGCTGAAGAAAGTCTTCATTGACAACTACATGGCTACATGTACGTGGCCGGGCACCAAGCACGATCTCAACCGTATCACCCAAAAGCCATCCGAGCTCCTTCGCAGCTACATCAGACGCTTCTCCGAGATGAGGAATTCTATTCCCAACATCACGGAAGCTGAGGTCATCACCGCCTTCGTTCGAGGACTTCATCACCGCGAGCTCCGTTCCAAGTTCAACCGCAAGCCACCTATAGGCATCGGCGAGATGATCACAACCGCCAACCAATACGCCGATGCCGAGGAAGCTGAGGTGCGCTTCAACGAAGATACGGGCACAAATCGCCTGCCTCGCCGCTATGACGATCGCCCCGATGACCGATGCCACAACGACCGCCGCTACAACGACTGTAGTTTCCACAGGGACAGCGGTCGTGATCGGCCAGAAGGACCCAAGCCTGGTCAACATCGTCGCCGCCGGCCAGACCACTTCGTTGCTACTATCAATGAGCCTCACGCCAAGCGGAACTACGATGAGTAGTATAAGAAGATCCTCGACGGTCCTTGCCCTCTCCACAAGAACGCAAAACATAAGATGAAAGACTGCCTTGGCTTGGCCAAGGAGTTCTAGGACAAGAAGCTGGATGACGACGCCAACGGGAACGGAGGCCGCCGACCACCTGGGGGCAATAATAATGCCTTCCAGGATCATGACAAGGTGGTCGCCACCATCTTCAGAGGCCTTGCCTCTAATGAGAGTAGAAGAGAACGAAAGCTCGCCGCCCGACGAGTGCTCGCCGTCGCTTCAGAGGAAACCACCACCAACCCCAGCTATCGCCCATGGTCTGAGGTCCCAATCACCTTCAGCAGGGCCGACCAGTGGGCAGACATACCCTACACAGGGCGTTTTCCCCTCGTCCTCAACGCGACTGTCCAGAAGGTACTCTTTAGAAAAGTCCTCATCGACGGTGGGAGCGCTTTGAATCTACTCTTCACCGGGGCCCTAAGGGAGTTGGGTCTCGGGACAACAGATCTCACGCCCTCGGATTCCTCCTTCTGGGGCGTGGTACCTGGCAGGGCACCCAGACCACTTGGAGAGATTACCCTACCAGTATAGTTCGGCATGGCAAGCAACTACCGTGTTGAGCATATCAACTTCTACGTCGCCGACTTCGACACCGCCTACCACGCCATACTTGGTCGACCGGCTCTAGCCAAGTTCATGGCCGTACCGCACTATGCGTATTTGGTGTTAAAGATGCCTTCACCTGCAGGAGTCCTGTCTCTGCGTGCCAACCTCTTCATCGCCTACGCCTGCGAGACAGAGAGTCTCGCCCTCGCCGAAGCCACCGACCTCTCCATCCAGATGGCGAGCGTGGTCGCCGAAGCCAAGATGGCGCCCGTCGATGACATGGAGATCCCAGAGCTGGAACTTCCTCACGCTTCCGCCAAGTCCAAGGAAGTCAAGGAGGTCGGCCTCGGCCTCGATGACCCCTCCAAGACTATGAAGATCGGGGCTCACCTTGACCCCAAATAGGAAAGCGCGCTCGTCTCCTTCCTACGTGCCAACGCTGACGTGTTTGCTTGGAAACCTGTAGACATGCTGAGGGTACCGAGGGAGAAGATCGAGCACTCCTTGAATGTCTCACCGACCGCCAAACCGATCAAGCAGAAACTCCGCCGATTCGCGCTAGACAAGAAGGAGGCTATTAGGGTAGAAATAAAACGACTCTTAGCTGCCGGATTTATAAAAGAAGTGTATCATCCAGTTTGGTTAGCTAATCCTGTTCTCGTTCGAAAAAAGAATAAAGAATGGAGAATGTGTGTTGATTATACTGATCTTAACAAACATTGCCCTAAAGACCCCTTTGGCTTGCCTCGGATAGATGAGGTTGTAGACTCCACCGTCGGCTGCGAACTGCTATCTTTTTTTGACTGTTACTCCGGCTATCATCAGATCTCCCTCAAGGAAGAAGACCAGATCAAGACGTCGTTCATCACGCCTTTCGGTGCATACTGCTACACCACTATGTCCTTTGGACTCAAGAACACCGGGGCAACCTATCAAAGGGCCATCTAGATGTGCCTCGACCAACAAATCGGCCACAACGTCGAAGCTTACATCGATGACGTG